TGGAAGACGATTGCAATCAATCAAGGTGACAATGGAATCCATTCCTTCAATTATCAATTTCCTTACGTAAAACTAATAATGGTAGCTCATTTACACAATTGCAGTTTGGGAAGTCATATGACAAGATAATTCTTTTGTTTTCTCTCGAAAATAATATCGCATTATATATCAACTATATTTTCACCTGATGACTTCTATAAATAACATATTTATGTTATTAAATGTTAAATTTAATTTATCAGTTTCAGTATATATACATACACATGTATTTATAGTGGATCTTTGACAAAATTGTGCTTTATTTTTAGAATCTAGACTTGTTCCAAACAATTAAAGTTCCTCAATGTCAGAGCCTTGTTGATGACATTGTCACTCTGGGAGTTATAAAGTAAATGTCCCTTTTAGGTAATAGTTGTACAACAGTGCTGACATGTAATAATGTTTCTGATAACACAAGTAACATATGTGTTCTGTATAAATGATAAAAGATAATGAGTCATGAGTTGATCTATACACAAACTTACATGCATGGTTACAAAAGAGAAGTAACATAAATTATAATTTGGATCGTTCTTCTAAATTAACTTCTTTGTCGTGTCAGGAAGTAGCTAAATTGAAGTTGGTTCATTACTAAGTAGCTACTGTCTCGACCAAGATATTGTATCAAGTTACCATATAAGCAGAAATTTTAGCGAGGATTCAATTGTGGCATTTTTTTTAGCGTATGCTTTGAGATAGCTAAAATTGAACATCGCTAATAATTCCTACAACACTAGAGGTTACCATTATATTTCTTTTTTCATTAAATAGCTAAAATTACTTAATAATTGATTTTTCAGGACAAATCGCTAAATTTGCATCTTGCTAAAAATTTCCACTTATACGGTATGTTATCTACTCCAAGCCTCGGATGCTGCAAGATTAATGCTTAAGATTACTTCCATTCCCAAGTGTTTATTAGCTCCAATGTTGAGTTAGTTTGCATAGATAATGCCGCCAAAGATTCGTAAAACAATCCATGGGTTAAAAATTGCATGTTTCCTGACAAAAATTACAATAGTTAGTTATATAACATGATATAGAACTATCTAGCTAACTATATTAAATACTTAACCTATGATACTTCGATGCTTCAATTTAAGACTATTATGTAATAACCTTTGATATTCTAGTTATTAAAGCACACTTTGATTTACTATGAAATGTTTTCTGGAATTATTTTTAGATTTAGAGTAATAATGTATCTAACTTTTTATGTCAATAATGATAATGAAAAAATAAAATAAAGAATAGTGAATAAATATGGAGATATCTAACAAGTATCAATCTCAAAAGTCTATTGCAACGATAAAAATCAGGAGCAGAGCAATCACGAACCTCTAAAAACATCAGAGGTGGGTCAGGTGCCATAGAGAAGTAAGAATCCCCTCTCGACCGATCACACCCGCCAGTGCAAGTCTTTGTCATGATCAGGTAATCGGGAAAATCCGTGGATAATTCATTGTGAAAATAATTGCCTAATAATTAGTATAAAAATCGTCAGTCAGTATTCAACTTAATGATATATTGTATTTGCAGAAAGGGTCAATTTATCGACCATAGAACTTGCGAAATATTGACTTCAAACTTGTTCGTCTATGGCTTGCCTCGATTTAAATATTGTTCGTAAAGAGGATGCCCTTTCAAATCGATTGGAAGACATAAACTCCATATGCAGGTGATAAGGGTTCGCGTATATTGCTACATAAATAAGAGACGTTGACGATAAAAAAGTTGAAGTCATCATGTTTATCATAAAGTATTGTTGTTAAGCTACCATTAACATCTTTTTCTAGTAAAAAATCAATCTCATCCTTTATATAATACAAATAGGGAAAAGAGTAAAACCAGGCCCCGAGATGTTTCAGATACCTAGGAGGAATAAGCATCCTCTGTCGGCTAGTCACATCCGTCTTGAGCCCTTTGTATTGATCAGGTAAACAGAATAGTCCGTAGTCAAAATTAATTTGAAAACAGCGGCCTTACAAATGGCATGAATTTCAATTTGAAGGTCAGACAAAATTAAACCCAATGATAGCTTGTATTTGCAAATAAACATAGAAATTTAAAAAAAAAATGACTTTAATTTGGACTGTTGAAACTCCTCTAATATCATTTTATTAGTAGGTAATAAGTAAGTACCGTGACCTGCATCATCATTACACAGAATATGCTCCCGTATGCTGAATCGGTTAAGAGACAAGGGCACTATATAAGACAATAATTGAAAATTGCTATATGAATAAGGAAAGCTCACAATAGAAAAGCTATATTCATCCAATTTGTCCGATATTATAAATGTTAGTTTCCCATTAATGTCTATATTTAGTAGAATATTTAAATATGAAGCAGAAGTGGCAAACTGTGTGATTCTTTTTCGAGTTCACTGTAAAATTAAACAAAGTAACACAAATAATACATTTGTCCTTGAAGTTTCTAATTCATGAATTAATTCCTAGAGATATCTTCCAAGCAGAACTGGTTATATCTTATATCTTAGATTTATACCTACATTGTGAATTGACGTTTTCACCTGTTTGTATGACTATGTTTTTTCAACTTTGAGTCATTTTATTTTATTTTTCGTTTAAAAAGATTCCATATTCAAAACAAAACATTGAATTGACGACATAGTTGAGCTGTTGAGATGTTATAGCTAAGCCATTGTGAGATCAAAAATGAGTAAATATGGATTTTTTTTTTACAGTTTTAGTCTCTGTTCGAGATGTTTCATTAGTGTTATCACAGTATTGACCAAGTGTAAATTCACTCTATTCTTATCATTTCAATAAAAAAATTCAATTGCCATAAAAGTTCAAATCCATATAAAAATGACAACATAAAATGAATTACGTGGTTCTCTCTATCGTTATGCCAGTCATAATTCTACTGATGTATCACTAAAGGTTTTAGCCGATCAAATTTCAGATTCTATTGACTAATTCCGCTAAATCTTCATAACACCTGATGGTGTGTTAAAGTGTGTACACTGTACGAAAGCTACAATTTAATAATACGGCATTCATTAGGGAAGTATTTAACTATGGAAATTCTTTTTATGGTTTATTTGCTTTGACAATGTAGATGGACCAATTGAATAACTAGAAAATTAGAATGACATCACCTAACAATCAATCTTGCCAGTAGTACAGCAATCTTGCCAGTAGTACAGTATTTAAGGTTTGATTTTACTGCTCAATGTGAAAGAACACGTCTTGTTAAATACAATAATTATATGTTATTTTTCTGCCGGAGAGTTCATGTCAACCTCGTTCAAGACGGTCAAACAACAAAAAACGGTTCAAAAAGTTAAATGATTACTAAAGGCTGAGTACTTAGAACGAATGGAAAGGTCATGTTGACTTATTACTCAGATATACATGCAGGAATGGTTTGATAAAACATTACACTGGAGTTATAAAGAGGCTTCATTCACTTCTAGAAAACATTTTTCCAAACTCAATGAAAAGAATGCACCATGTTCTTAGGTATAGTAAAGGTTGGCACATGTAGCAGATAGATTAAAGAGTCGCTAATTGAAACTTGTTTGATTCTGTTTGAAATGAATTTCAACATTTTAAAATAAGCATATTATGTGTCCATGACTCATGACTTTCAGAGTTAGAAATATACAATCTTGTCAAATTGGAAAAGACAAAGTCATTGGGTAAAAGTTGAGAAAAGATCTCATCAAAGCAATAACTTTAGTTCCTTGTATGTTATGGACCATTGTATCAGATTGTAATGATTGTGATTCAAGGGTACTATATTTTATCATGGTCTACCTGATGAGCTCAAGGTGGGTGTAACCGGTCAACAGGGGATGCTTACTCCTCCTTGACACCTGATCCCACCTCTGGATTATCCAGGGGTCCATGTTTTTTGCCCTTTTCACAGATTTGTATTGTTTATAGATTTTTTGAGATCGATCACTGTTCATTATTTTCACCTCTATTAAGGTAAAAAATAGATTTATGGATGAAGTTTGGGAATACGAAAACATCCTTCTCCTGTCATTTTCCAATTTTATTTGGTACAGCTTTAAATTTGTCTTGTATTAATTGCCCGTATTATGATAAGTCGTACGCTTATTGTTGCACTAATTACAGTATATATTTAATTGAAAACCTATAGATAGGCGTTCAGTGATACCTAATCTCATCTTACATCTTTTTTTAGTTATCATTTCCTACGCAGAACTCTCAGCTATGACATTTCCCCACAGAAAATACACCAGTCAAGTTGGTGTTGTCACGACTTTGAGGGGGCATATAAATGTATTAATTTTTTTTTTGATTTTTTTCTTGATGAAAATGAAATATATATGCATGAAAAACTTGTGGATTAGCAACTATAAGTAATTACATTTAACCATTGTGACTTGGTCGTTATGGTGTAAAGGTTATTTCGCAAAGCACGAAAAATGCTGAAGTTCCTTATCTGAGTCATTTCCTATGTAGATGTTATATAAACAAGAATAAAGACCCTGATGATTCTACATGCCTACTCAAAATACACTACTCTCATAAATAAAGAATAATGATAATTATCTGCTTCATGAATGTGAAGTAACCAATGCAGTTAGTATATAACGTCCATTCCTCTCCAAATTTGAAGAGCTATTTCCCTTAATTGTATTTAAACATCAATGGTTATTGTTACTGTTTAGAGTGACATCGGAATCATTCTTATCAATCTTTGTTAATGAAATAATCTTACTGAAATCTGTGCGTCCTTAGGATGGATTAAATATGCATTTATGAACGATTCATCAATATAATTTTAGATTATAGACTACCACGTTTTTACGTATTATTGATCAATTTTTTTAAAAAAATTGATCGTTATGGCCGACTGAATGTCTATTTATATTGGATATTGCATATATTTTACGGTTCAGTGACTATGATCTACACGAGTTTGGATCACATTCTCCATTTCCGATGTTAATTCTACCGAATTCGGACGTGTTTTTTTAAGGATTTTATTTTGTTAAATTATGCTAAGATATGGACATATGCCATTTGCCTGAGCTGCTCGGAGGCATTTTATGTGACCAATTAATTTAAAGGAATTACATTACTAAAGAATCATAATTAATCTTTTGGAATTAATTATCTTTTCACAGTTTCTGATGTTATCCAGCTTTCGCACAAAGGTGAGTTTTTTCCTACCTCCTTCAATAATTAACTATTGTTACCTTTTTTCTTTCTTTCTTAGTTTTGCTTTAAAACGATATAGATTCGATATCCTAGCAGATCAATGAAATTTTATGGAAATTAAATAATTTTTTAAAGTTACTGTTATTTTCATATACCTTTTTCCATAGACAGAAAGAAGATGGTACAAACTATCAAAACGAATGTAAGGAATTCAAGTCAAATCAATAAATCTCGATTGAAATGATTTCTTGATTTAAATACAGTAAAATACACTTTTTTTACATGAATATCTATTTTTAAACAAATATATAATTATGCTTTCCAGAAGGAAATTCGTAAGGGGATACATATTTTTTTATTAAAAAAATAATTTCGATTTCTTGAGTTATTATATGCAAGAACACGAAGTAAATGAAGGACATTGTTTACAATGTTCTTAGTGATAATTTGACGTTTTTATGTCAAACATTTAAAACAAAAACACGCGCATGAACTGTGCTGGAAGTACCGAAATATAGGATAAATAGATCCAAAAGCAGACACTTTAATAAATCTTACGTTTTTTGCGTTCTTGCTGTGAAAAAAAAAAACACAGGTAAAATCCTGTTTGAAAAAACATCCTATTATTACAGATACAATGGTCGTCCTTTCTGTTGATCAAATTAGTCAACATGTGTACATTGTAACCTTATTCTCATTAAACAATCTGATATTTAAAGAAGAAATCTGCAACATGCAAATACATACATTACCATCCTTTTTAGATTTTATATAACAGCATTTTATTTTGATACTTTAATGTAAAGGTGGATAAGGATAATAAGGACTTCAAACTCTTCAACTAATAAAAGTTCCGATATATTGTCCAAAAATAATTTTCTCAACAGGAAAAAAGTGAATGTTTTTTATGCTCTACGTCAGAATGAATACCTTTCATAGCTTACCGAGACATTAAATTAGCAATTAAATTAAATTATCTTGTATAATAAGTAGCAATATTTTGTCTATAAGTTTCAAATTTTCAATTTTTTGGGCATTTATTTCATCTAAAAAAAATTAATGGATATTCATGAGAAAATCATTGAAAATTCCTAAAGAAAGATAAGATTACATTTGAAGATCATACATATGATTATTCAGCATTTCTTGCTAAAGGCTCTCTTAAGGCATTTTTTTTGCAGAATCAATAATAAATTACTATGGCAAAAAGAATAAGATATGTCAAGAATAATGATAAAGAACACATTTAGTGGGAAACTTGAAATTTTAAATATATCTGAGAGAATTATTCGAAAACCAATGGTATGCAGCTATAATTTCTCACTTTGTCTCTTCAATCTGAATTTGTAGTTTGCTTCATTCAAGAGTTTCCTTTATCCTATAAGGCTCTATTTTTTAAATCTATTTTTTTTTAATTTCTAGCATGATCAGTAAACAGTGTTTTTTTTTTTAATTTATAGAAGGCTCTGCTGGGCAATGGGTTTCCCTGTTTTGTTCTAGATGACCTTTTTCATTTTTTGGTATATTTTTGTCGACTTTGATAACATCGACATAACTATGAATTTCATTTTGTATATTTCTAGATGGCTCTCCAGGCAGTTCTTTTCGTCCTCTCGCTCCTGTCCCGTGCTGAGTTCGTGCATACCGCTCATCCGGGAATCTTTACTGCCGATCAAAGCTCCGGTTCTTTAGGGTCTCTCAGCAGTCCCTCATTTGAAAGGAGAAACACACAAAAGGTTGCAGTTGTTGATAATGGCTTATTTAATCAACAGAAAACACTCAACTCCTTATCGTCGTTATCAAACTTTGACAATCATGTTCATAACATTCAGCAAACACCCGATCAAATACCATCGGAACTATATCCAAACGAGCCTATTCCTACCGTTGTGTACACAGAAGTGCCACGTAATCCTGAACAATCGCCATCACCACCAGACAACAGTATTATCGTTGAAAGTATTCAGATGCAGCCGGAGAAAATTTCTCCACCAAGAAAAAAATTTTTATCGGGTCAAATAGATGTTTCAAAGCAAGAAAGGGCCTTTACAGTTGATCAACCAACGATAAAGAAAGCTGTGAACAGACAAAAGATTGTAAAGGAACAAAATAGCAGTTTATCTCACAAGCAAAATGAACCCGCCACTGAAAAAATAGAAAAACAAAGACCTGCGAGACCACAACAAATTCGGTTTATGAGCGGCAATAATATATTTAAACCAGGACAGAAAAACATCTCATACCGATTTACAGGTAAATCTTTCACAAAATCTCCTACACCGATTAAAAGACCAACCCCAAAAGCAGAAATGATTTCGTCTGATACAAGAAATAACCAAATGAATCAGAAGCTTGACCATAAGAAAACAACACTGGATAGCTTTTTACTTCGAGAAATTGCGACTACTGAATCACCAGTAACTGTGTGGAAGCAAAGTATCCAACATGGCCTATATGACACCACAAAAAGCTTCAGTGTACCTATTACGTCTCATCTTCACACAGAAGCTCCGACCAAACCACCCCTCAATAAGTACTCAATGGTGAACCCAACCAATGGTGCTGTGGTTGGTGGCCATATCGTAACACAAGAGAAACCACCCTCTGATATCATTGTCAACCATCACGAGACTTCAGTTATAGAGCGAAATAGAAAGTTAAGCAGAGATCGGTACAGTAATGCACAATGGCAGCATCAACAGAAACATAACCAGCAAGTTCAAAGGCATCTGAAGAAACAAAGCTCTTCATTATCCAGTATGAACGCACCACAAAAATCAAATAATGAGCACTCTCATGTCGTGACAGATCCCGAAGCAATTGCAGATATCATAGTTAGTAGTAGTCAGCAAGGTGCTCCATCATTGAATAACTTTGCTACCAACGCAGGGCAATATATTGATAATCAAATGCGGCACACAAATATGGAACATATGCATGGAGCTAATAATCTACATGAATTTAATTATCAACATCCAGCTAAAAAACAATCGAATCAAATTAATGATTTCCAAAATAATGGACTAAGAATGGGTTCCCTTTCAAATCCGAATCCCGTAAATTTAAACAACCAACAAGGAGTGAATAGTAAAACATTACCAACTGAAGAGAAAAAGCATTTAGAAGTGGCCCACAGATTGCATAAAAACAAAGAGATGCTTCAACAGCATGGCCAATTTCCTAAACACGATGCCATCACAACACATGGCGAAAATAAGATATTGCAGGGTAAACGCCAACTCTCAGAGCTTTATTCATCAACAACTTTGCAAAAACAGAACATAAATAACCTTAAATCAAATGCTTTCGCAAACAACTTTGTAATATCCAATAATGTGAATGCGATGCAAAATAATCAAAAGTCTGCGGCTAATACACCTTACACTCAGAGGAAAAAGAATCAGCAACATCCCAGAGATATGAAAGCATCAGTCATAAATAAATTACAAGGTATGAATACACAGCAACATCATTCGAGATTGCACGATAAAACCCCTAGCACTCTTTTCCAGGGAGTTCACCAGCAGGAACATCAAACAAAACATCACGGACACAAACAAGGAACTGAGCAGCATAAAAAACAATCGCATAAAGCCCCGAGTCTATCCTCCAGTAGCTCACTGTCTAACCCCAGTTTCTTGAGTTCTCAAAGAAGAATGATGCAGTCACAACCTGGCTCTAAACAGCCTCAAGGCCACTCTATGGAACAAATAATGAACCAAGGGACCCCTCAGATGCAAATGCAATACGCTGGAGCAAATGAAGTGCAGTATAATATTGTAAAAATGCCACCATCCCGAGCCGAATATTTCCATAAGTCGATAGAACATATGCCAGAACCGGCAGACGTCAAAAGAGTTCAGATTCACTCTGCTAATTCCATATTAAAGAACCAACACACGCAAAAGACAGGGTCTCTACGAAATGAATATAACTTAAGAAATGATCAAATAGAAGCCAGACACTACAATCAAATGAATGGAATACCCTCTGCTGGACGGGTAAATCAAAAAGTAATTAATTCACTGAGTCAGACAAAAGCAATGGCCGATCCTAAACAACAATCAGCACAAAGTATTTACCAAATGGAGAATCCAAAATCACTGTATGCTTCAGAGATGCAACAAAATGGTCAATATAACATCATCAATGACGCAGCGAAAGTCAATCCCCAGGAAACTCAAGTAATAGACACCTCATTCAATATTCCCAAGGAAATAATTGCAAATCCAAATATACAAATGTTGAACATTGAAAATCCTGTACAAAGTGGATACTCATTGGCTGGTGTTAACATTCTGGACATCAAGCCTATTAAAGGACTGTCACCCGATATTGTTCAGATATCGAAGGTGACAAACACAATACCTATAATAGAAATTCCAATAAACTACAATTATTACGAAACAACAACTATTCCTCTTGCTGGTCATGAACAGAATTTGCATACAACATCCTCTTTAGCTGCCCAGCCTCCCGGTCTGCAGAGAACATTCACAAAAGCTCCAGAAGTTTTCCGAATGTCTACAGGACGAGGTAACATAAAAAAGTTGAGATATACAATCTTTCTTTTATTCTCATTTTGTACCTGTATTTTCAACGTTCAAAGCAAATCCAGAGTTTGAGTCGACAGTAATTAGCTTAGTAGCAGGAAACCGTTGATATAGATTAAAGGATTATTTTGATTTTCATTTCCTTTTTTTCGATCAGCTTGCTCATATGAAGTCAACCCATTCAACAGAAACGAGTATGCCATGAACCAGGCGGAAGCACAGGCAGGTCGTTTTACATCAGAATGCCCAGCAGGACTTCATTTTCGTGTCGACAGATGTCGCTGCGATTGGCCAGTGCCACAAACAAATTCAAACACAAACTGTAAGAAATGTAGCATAACGAAAATTCTCATTTTCAGAGATTCTTTATAAACTACGTTGTTTTAAATAGTGAAGGGGTGGAAATTGACAAAAGCGTGAAGTTATAATTATTAGACTACTTTTACAATTTTGGTGTCAATTTCGTTTTTTCGTAAAATAATAACTTTTAAAAGAATTAGCTGAGTACTTGGATATTATTTTTAAATTTCTGATTGAATAACAGCACTTACATCACAGTGTAAGTAATAGAAAAATTGAAATTCAAAACATCAGCAATGATTTTAATTACGGAAAACCTCATTGCCTTTTTAATCTTATTCCTTGAATAAAGTATTAGTGGCATCCTATGAATACAAATTTATTTGGAAATTTCAATTCTGATTGTTACCAGAAAGGTTAATGTTCGAACGTAGTAAATCACACGTTTGTGACTTCTGTACGAATCTTTTATTCTTGTCACGAAACAAGGTACATCAAAAGGTTACCAAGAATGTTATTGAAATTGAAAAACAACCAACCACAACCTTTCTGGCATTAGTTTATAATTTGTAAACGTTTTCAAGAGACAAATTTAGCAATTTGAACGTTTAAAGTTCATGTTTTGAATGTTCAATTTTAGATGTTGACCAAAAGGTTTATGTTGTTTATGTATCAATGTATTGCCACCATACTGGGGGGGGGGGGGGGGGGTCATACAGATTCTTTTCTGGAATTGTAATTTAAAGATTGTCAATCTATTAAATAATATGTTTTTCATAGTAAGTAATAGAAGCAAAGTAATACAACTGAAAATGATGAAAAAACGCAAAGTTCATAATTATTTGGCATTGTAAATGCAATTTTCACTTTCAAATTCAAGAAGGTTAGTGATGGTGTTATATATTTTCAGCTTGTCCCTATGTAGTAAATCCAGCCGATAAGAGGCAGTATGCTCACAGTATACAGGAAACACGGACAGGGAAACTACTGGACTGTCCGGCGAACCTACACTTTAATGAACAGAAATGTCGATGTGACTGGCCAAGCTTCTGAAAGGTATATTAATATTGTACAGATAGAAAATAGCTTTTAATACAGTAGCATATGTGTTTACCATCGCTTCTTTAACAACGAAATCAATTCACTACGAATATGTTTTCTCAATTTGACTCCAATGATTATTTGAAAAGTAATCGTATGAAAATTTCCTTGTATACATCGTGTTAGAATAAAACAAGGAAAGAAGTTAAATATAATAGAATATGTACGCTACATTGTATACATCGAATATAAAATTGTAAACTTCAGAATATTATTTATTGATAGAGATAGTAATATAGTCTTCTCAACTTTCAATATTTCTATGTATATAGATTAAAAAATCTTTTCAATATAAGAAAGTAAAATATTTACTTTCCCCGACGAAATAAATCTTTGTTAATTAAAAATATATTATGAGTCATTAAAGAAACGTGTAAAAGAAAAACGTGTTTTTGCTAAAAATGTAATTATCATGCATGCGTACCGCGCTTCGTATTCTTACTGGTATAATGTATTTACCATCAAGTTCATCTAAATACTTAGTGTTTTATGCTGTTTATAATTTCACATTGTTTGATTAAGCTGACGGAGCTTAGCTTGAAATGTTTATTTCTCTAAGTAATAAACAAATCCAAATGTAATTTAAAAAATATAAAAAGATATGCATCTCTCCTGCTTTTTGTCTTAATATTTATTTAAAAAAATAATTTAGAAGTATTATTTAAATATTTTGTAATTTAATGTCAGCAGAAAAATCTGCATTTTTGAATTTTAAAGAGAACTGTCATTTAAGTTTCCTATTCTTTCTGTCATTAAAAAAATCTCATTATTAGTTTGAATTAATTATGATGATACAAAGTCAGTAATATGTAAATGTGATTTCCCAAGATGCGAAGGTCTCACATTTATTTCTATAACTGACGAATATTAGTAGAAACAGAAATAGATTTTTTATTTCTCTTTCCGTGAGACATTTGACATACTAATTAACCTTTGCATCAAGGTTCGTCAATTTAGTTTTTGTGACAGGAATCTTAACTATGATTAATACCTCTAAACAATATTAATTACGGCTCTAATATACTGGACGCATTGTTGTAATAACGGTATATAAATATAGCGATTAAATTTGTCGGATTTTCATCTTGCATTCAAATTAAATTAGTTTCCTAACATGTGTGTAATAGATGGCGACATTCTGACTTGTTCTCTTTGCTTAATAATTTAATTATCTCTAAAACAAAACTTCTTTCTAAGCGTTCTTTCAAATAAAGATTTTGTGTTATTCATGAAAAAATAAAAATGTGAATGCATGTTTTGTTAAACGTATGTTCCGTTTATCTTTATCTGCTGTAAATTAACCGTATCTATTTTATTTTCAGGAACTGTTTCGACTTATCCGGTGAAATACCCAGTGTCTGAAAGGTAGAATGAGCTGGCCGGCCATGTATGAGGACAAGTCATACCAATGGCCGAGATATATAGGGAATAAACATTCAGTGAAATTGAAAGCTGTTGTGATATTTATTTAAATTGATGTACATATGTATATATTTTGATAGTTTATATAATTTTTAGCGTTGTTTTACGTAGATATTGTTTGCATCTGATTTTTGTCACTTATGAGAATTGTCACTATTTATATGATATCTTGCATAATCATAATTGTATTGTTCATAAACCATTAGAAAAGGTTTATTGATCTTATCCATTTTAAAATGTACATATATCATCGATAAGTTTTATTTTTTGTCTCTATCCCTAATCTGAAGGAAAGAAAATTGATTTAAAAAATTAAATTACAGGTTGTTCTACAGAACAATTTTTTAAAATAAATTGTCACCAATATTTATCCGTAAAAATAAATTGGAAACAAGTTTATGTGTTTACACTGGCTAAAGTTAATGAAGAGAACAGCGTAATACTAGAACAAGAATAAAATCCCAGGGTGCTTTATTTGAATGCATTTTCAGGGGATAATTTAGATTTATGAGATGATGTGTTTATCCCTTATCGTACAATTAAATGCCAAAAAATGAGTTCCTTTGAAAAGAATGCTTATTAAAATTTCAGTCAGGAATATACAAATGAATATACCGATGTTGTCTAATGTAAAACAGACATTAAAGGGCATTATGAAATTCCCTTCTGCAGAATAAAAGTAAAACCTTGCAATCGATTGTCCAAATTTTTCATCTGTGATTACATTATAAACCACTGTTCATATTTCCTTTATAAATGTAATTAAACAAATGAATTAGATTTCCCTCAGAATAATCGTGAGTCAAAAATAAAGAACTTTCTGATTTAAGCCTCGTGCAAATGATAGTGAAAAAATCGTCACTAGTTCTTGTATTATTTACTATACAAGACTGGCCAAATCAGGTGCCCAAAACAAGTCTCCAGATATAATAGCTTTGTTGAATGCTTAAGAAATGAACACGATTGGGGAAAGGGGGTGACGGTACATATTGTCCTTCTGTACATATTGTCGCCGACTGCACATATTGTCGTCCATCGGCTCATATTGCCGACGACAATATGTACCGAGACGAGCCTTTTTTTCCCTCCTGCATAATTGATGACAAAATGTACAGTCATGCATCGGTACATATTGTCGACGACAATATGTACAATGAACATATGCACATTTTGTCGATATATCACAGACAGAAGGATAGATAAAGTTCTTGGCAGATAGATTAGTATCCAAGTTGTATATATTTATTTAGCATTACTCGCAATACTGTAGGGGGAAACAATTTTGGTCAGAAAATTGTGTCCAGGACCTGTGAACACTACAAATGAACATGAACTATGATATTATGATATGCCAAGATACTAAAAATTCTTGATTTATCTGATAAATAAGTCAATTTTTTCGTTATACATGTATATTCATATACTTTACATTTTGTGTTCAGTACATGTAGTAATGATTGTCTGAAAATATTTTTGCGTTATTCTTATAAATGTACTGAAAAAATGGGGTGTGGGTATTGACATGTTTAGATCACCTGAGCTTTTTTGATCATGTTTTGTCTGTCATCCGTCTGTCCGTCCGTCTGTAAACTTTTCAAATTTTCAGCTTCTTCTCAAGAACTACTGGACCAAGGACATGAGCGAACATGGCGTGCATAATGCCTATAGCTTCAGGTATATAAAAATCATATTAGAATTGTGAATTTACAATTAAGTTTAAAGTTCTCATTATTGAAATTTATGAAATTATGACAATCAAAACTTTTCTGAGGGAAATTTTATCGGCAAAAATTATTTTTTTTATTATTAAAAATGTGGTATTTTGGGGGTTCGAAACCTTGGCAATAAAAATTTTGAGTATCATTTCACTTTAAGTCTTACGAGCTAGCCGCTACGCTAGACAACTCCTGACAAATGTTGGTTTGTCATAAAATCATGGTTTGTGATATGGGCCTTGACAAAATGGACGAATGTAGTACCAAAAAGGTGTATTTTTAAGTAAAGTGGGTCTTTGCTTCATGTTTTTATTAACCTAAGATGTATATTTTTTACGCAAACTTTGAGGATAAACTTCCAAAAGCATGGAGTGAAGACCTACTTATATGAAAAAATTGTGTTACAATACGAGAAAATGATCTTTATTGTCTTATAATGCTACTTCATAGACAAATAATTTCAATTCTTGTGAGATTTGTGCAAATTGTGGAGATTTTACATAAAATTATGTTTTAATTTTGGATGAAATCTCAAAGAAAATTTTGTTATTATTGAGATCAAATTTTTCACCTTCATATTTGTCGCACCATACGCATTTCGCTCACCTTCTTAGACCATCTTCTTTCAACCAAACTTGCCACAAAGCATTCATGAATAAATGAATTCAAATTTGTTCAAATGAAAGGCCAGGTCTTCTTTCAAGGGGAGATAAAAAAGAATTAGTGAAAATTTAGTGACATCCTTTAAAAATCTTTACCTCAAGAATCACTGTGCCAAAAAAGTTGGTACATATGTGAAATCTTCATTATAAATTGATTCAATTTTCTTCAAATTATGATCCCTTGGGAAAAGGTTGGGGCTACAATAGGTGATCAAAATTTTACATAGGAATATATTGGAGAAAAATCTTTCAAAATCTTCTTCTCAAGAACTACTGGGCAAGAGGAGTTGGTACTTATGTCAAAACTTCAATACATAGCGTACAGGTGTACATTCAGGTTTGTTTAATTCATGACCCCCACAATGGGCGATCAATGTTTTACATATTAACAATATATACAGAAAATCTTTAAAAAAATTCTTTTTAAGAACAGCAAGCCCATGATTAGTCATATCTACATCTAAACATCCTCAGGTATTGTAGATTCAAGTCTGTTCAAATCATGACCCCCAGGACTATGGTGGGCCCACAATGGGCGATCGAAGAGTTACATAGAAATATATGTAGGGCACTTCTTTAAAAATCTTCTTCTCAAGAAGAGCAAACAAAGCAATGATTTGTCATATTTATATGGAAAGATTGTCAGATATTGCCAAGCAACATGTACCGATGGGCGACAATATGTGCAGTGAGGTTAGGTTCACATTGTCGACGGCGGCAATATGAAGGGGACGACAATATGTAACGTCACAATCGCACTACATGAAATAACATACGAGACACGTCAGTGTGATTTACACACCAATTTCATTTATAAAACTACATTTTTTAGCAACAGTATCTTTATGGCGACAATATGTGCAGTGGGGTTAGGCACATAATGTCACCAACAACAATATGTATATGTGGACGACAAAATGTGCAGTGATGGTAGGTACATGTTGTCGCCGACAACAATATGTACAGAACGACAATGTGTACCGTCACCGGGGGCAGAGAAAACTAAATCATAGGCTCTGATACGGCATCGCAGTCGCACACGGGCACCTGTTTGGCAGGGCTTGCTATCTCTCTTGGTGAAGTATATCAACATTCCTGTATATGGCTATCAAAATTTCACGTTTCAAAGCAACATTCAAGATTGGATACAAATTAACACAAAAACAATTTGTAGACGAAATGTTGTACGTAGTTAATAAAATCATAATGCAAAAACAAATAATCTATCGCTATCGAAACTGAACTTTTTGTATCAACCTTAGGTACACGAGTGTAAAATCTGACAAATGCGAAAGTCGGCAATATCCTTGGGTAATAGCTTATATGCAGTGATATGGAAAAGAAAGTGGCATCTCAGTTCCACTTGTGTTTCTAAAGGAAATTATTTCATCTGTAATTAAGGTTAACAGAATCATTGATACGAAGGACATATGTAAAATATCAATAAAAGTATATGTAACAAAATCGATATGATTAATATTGAATGACAGTTAAAGGTGCTTGCGCTAAATCTTTTACGATGTGTTATGGAATACATCATTGCACCATATGTCGATAGTTTGGACTATATAGACTGAGAGAAACAACTCCATTATATTAGTTAAAATAAAGGAAAAAAGATCATTTCACTGAAAAAAAACAATACATTTGTAAACTCCATTTAATTCCATGCTATAATGTAACAATCTTAAAAGGTTTTTACTATTCTTAATAAAGTTTAAATGTTTATGAATTTCAGATTCAATATATTATATTTTATAATACATATTTTCCATTTCAAATTTTAATTAAATCAATGTAACATTTCTTGTATCATCATTGATGTTGACTTTTTGAGACAACAATCGCTGGTACACTCCAAAAGAGTTTAAGGGTAAAGTTTTGCAGAAAAACAGTGTCATGTCATCAGTGTAATTATAACACAATTACTCAATGTGTTTGGATTAAGAAGACTTTTGTAAGATTATAGTTTTATTATAAAGTCACAGCAAAGGCAAAACAATGGTACATAAAAAGTTGAATGGCTGCAGGTCTCGGAGCCAAGATGGTGAAAGCTCACATATTCAGTGTAGGAGCTAAGATGTTAAAAAGCTCTCGTAGTCAGTCTTAGAGCTAAGATGTTAAAAAGCTATTGATACTCAGTGCGCACATCTTTTGTGCAAGAAGCTGCATCATAGTGATCACGTATTTGGTAACAACAATTAGTTAGAGTGTCACTTCTTTAATATTGATATAGTCCGCCCCTCACTGAAGCTGTCCCATCTCCTTATAGAATACGGCAATGTCCTCTGTTTACATTAACACTGTGTATCTTGCGCACATTCTTCAGTTAATTAGATGGTTGCAGCTTTGCACAAAGTCTGATTGGAAGTGTCAATGTTAGAGAATAACACATCGTAAAAACTAATTGTCCGTCAAATGAAGACGTTCACTTATTGTATCCAATCTCCCAGAGTTTGTAAACAAGTTCATAATTAAGAGGTTATTGTCCGTCGCTCTACACACTGATAGTATCAATTATAATTCAAAACACAATATTTAAAATATTTATAAACGCAATGTACAGAATTAATATATCGATTAAAATTATAATTTGTATGCTCATTGTGTTACAGTAATCAAAGTTTAAAGCTTAAACTTTCTGAAAATATCAAAGCTTCGTACTTAATCAGAGTAAATTTACCTTAGCTGATTCTTCTGCAATTATCTGAAGAGAAACAAGATTAATATATAGCTACAGACTGGTGACAGAAGAATTCGAATAACATGGCAACAACATTATAAACTGGTGATATGTATATGAAAATTATGATAGATTTTACAATTATAATGCATGTATGTATATGATTGTGAATAAATTAAATACTACATCATTTAACTTAATAGTTTATGACATATCAAATATTC